TACGGTAGGTCCTTGTTTATCTAGTTTACATAGAGTAGTGTGTATTTGTTAAACCCAAATCCCCAATTTATCCCTCCCCTCCTTTTCCCCTTTGGCAACTATAAGTTTGTTTTCTATGTCTGTGAATCTATTTCTGTTTTTGTAAATAAGTTCATTTGTATCATTTTTTAAGATTCCACATGTAAGTGACATCATATGATATTTATCTTTGTCTGACTTACTTCACTTAGTATGATAACCTCTGAGTTCATCCATGTTGCTGCAAATGGCACTATTTCATTCTTTTTCATGACTGAGTAATATTCCATTGTGTGTCCTTTGATAAGATTCTATAATTTTCTCCATGTTTGACCTATAATTCTTTTTTAAAATTTGTTTCTGGGCATTTTACAATTTTTGTTGCAATTATGAATGGATTTTTCCAGTTCTAATTAGTCAGTATAGAGTAAAACTGTTGATTTTTTTTGGTGTAAACTATTGATTTACTTTGTGTCCCGTCACTTCCCAAATTCTCTTATCAATCCTGGTGGGTTGTTTGAGTAGACCCTCTTGGGTTTTCTTGGTACACAATTACATCACCTGCAAATAAGAGAATTTTTTCTTTTCCAATAGTGACAGATTATTTTATTTTCTTGCCTTGTTACATTAGTTTAATACTACAGAATACTGTTGAATGATGGTGATGGAGGTATTCTTGACTTGTATTTTGATAGAACATGGCTTCAGTGCTTTATCAGTTAATATGATATTTGGTGTTACATTTCTGCTTTTTGGGTAATTTTATCATATTTAAGTATTTCCTTTTATTCTCATACTACTTAAACTTTTTATTTAACATTTGGCTTCATATTTAACAGAAGAAGACATTTCAAAGCAAGATAGGAAACCTATGAGCCACAAAGCAAAAGAAAGACATACTTGACTTCACAAAGATGAAAAGAAATTGTTTTTAACTGGCGAAATACTATAAGTAAACACTAAAGTCAAACAAAATATAAAGTCAAGGAGAAAAAGGTTTGCAACCCTTTTTATACCCCTAAGGAGCATCTACAAATCAGTAAGAGAAAATAAACAACATAATAAAAAGTGAGCAATGAGTTTAAACAGGCAAGTTTTAAAAGAGGAAGCTTAAATAATCAATAAATAATAAGACATGAAGAGACGTTCAAATGTACAAATTAGAAAAATGAAATATCATTTTTCTTCTAGCCTACTGGCCAAAATGATAAACACCAAAAATATTCGTGGCAGGCAAGGATGCAGGTATAGATGAGTATAAAAAACGATAACAGGGCTTCCCTGGTGGCGCAGTGGTTGAGAGTCCGCCTGCTGACGCAGGGGACACAGGTTCGTGACCCGGTCTGGGAGGATCCCACATGCCGCGGAGTGGCTAGGCCCGTGAGCCATGGCCGCTGAGCCTGCGCGTCTGGAGCCTGCGCGCCCGGAGCCTGTGCTCCGCAATGGGAGAGGCCACAACAGTGAGAGGCCAGTGTACTGGCCAAAAAAAGACAAAGAAACACAACTATAACATTTTCAGAATATAGTTTGGTAATGTCTATTGAAATTTAAAACACACAACCCGTTTTTGGAAACCTGCCCTACGGAAATAGAAGCATCATATACATATAAGGATGTTTCAGTACTGCCTGCAGTGGCAAAAAGCCAGAAATCATCTGAATGTCCATGAATAGGTGAATCATTAAGTCACAATATATGATATGATGGGATTTTACTCAGCCATTAAAAAGAATAAAGTGAAATCTATATATCTATTGACCTGGAGGGATGCCCATGATATTCTTTTAAGTGAAAAAAGCAACATGCAGAGTTATGGGTAAGAGGCTATTTTTGTTGTTAAAATAAAAACAAAAGAAAACATAACCCTGTATCAAGTATATGTTGGTAGGAATAGGGAGAAAGCGGTTTGGAGATGATGGCAGGAGAGATTTTAATTCTTCACAGACTTCTGAATTGTTTAACTTGTTAAAAATTTATCAGGTACGCTCATGAAATTAAAAATTAACCAAGACAATTTAAAGGAGGAAGAAAAGGGACCTGCCTCAAAAACATCAATACATTTCACTTGATTGCTCTGTGGCCTGCAAACTTCTTGGCTTCTATCTATTGATTCCCCTTCCTCTTCCAAGTGAAGTGAGCTGGGATGGCGGGGGAGAAGCTGGGAGACACAGGTGTACCTGCCCAAGAGGGAGGGAGGGAGAGAGAGTGAAAGAAAGAGGAGAGAGTGTGGCAGGGGCCAGTGACCCGGGGCCGGGGGTGGGGGTGGGGGTGGTCAGAGACAGGGAGCTGGTGTCAGGATCAGCTTCCACATAAGGGAGCAGGGACTGTGGGACTAGCCCTGGAGATGGGGACGCGGGACGAGAGCTGCCTCAGGAGGGCAAGGCGGTTTTCACGGCCTCCTGGGCTGTCCACCAGACCCCGACCCAGGGGAGCCTGAGGTCCTAATGAAAATCCCTCCATAGGCCTTTCAAACGTCCCAGAGCAGGTGGGTAGTTCATTCCTTCATTCTTCCACTCAATCACCTAATAAGCATCTACCTTGTGCCTCTGTCACGCTACGTGCTGAGGAATTGGCCTGTTCAGGACAGACACGGCCCTGCCTGCAGACAGCTTCCAGCGTGGTTGGGGGAGCCCACACCCCAGTGCTGGTCACTCTGTTTCTGTCTGGCCCAAGCTCAGTTGGGGCTGAATGGGGTGCTATGAGGGCCAGGCTTAGCAGACAGGCTCTGATCTGGACCACAGACCGCAGCTCTGACCCCAGCCGGCTGCCTGGCACCCCGCACCACTGACGATGGGGCTGCAGATGGCGAGGGGAAGCCACTTTCCAGCGGCCTCGTGCTCTGGGGGCCTGGGGGGCTTCCAACCCAGTCTGTGGAGGGAGACCGAGTTCACACCGGGGTCAGGGGGACCTCCACGTTGCCTGGCCTGGCCTCACTGCAAAGTCAGTTAATATGGTGCCAACTCCAAGTGTGTGGGCCGCTGGCCTCCTTGCCCACGTAATTAAAAGGGCATCTATGTGTCTGCGTGGCTGACGAGGAGACGAGGGATGTGTGTGCGTGTGTGTGTGTGTGTGTGTGTGTGTGTGTGTGTGTGTGTGTGTGTGTGCACGCACGCATGCTCACGTGTGCCGCACTGGTGCTGGAGCAGACAGGGTACTGAGGCCCCTCAGGGTGAGGCCTCAAGGTCTCTCCTCCTCAATCTACGGGAAACAACATTCTAGACCCGCCAGTGACCCCAGCTTCAGCCTCCACAGCCGTTATCTCTTCCCTCGGTCTGAGGGACACAGATGCACCCCGACCGGGCTGGGGCAGGAGAAATCCCCGGCGCTGAGGGTGGATAAGGGACTCCCCTCCGGCCGCCTGCTGCCCCCTGACTGCCCAGGTTGCCCCTGCACTTGCCGTGGTTCCCACCGAGGCTGCTCTGTGGCAGTGATGGCCGGGAAGGTGAACTCGTGGGAATTAGAAGGGCAACCAGAGCCCAGGAGAATTAGGCAGGAAGGTGGTTGCAAAAACCCGAGTGATGGGCTTCCCTGGTGGCGCAGTGCTTGAGAGTCCGCCTGCCGATGCAGGGGGCGCGGGTTCGTGCCCCGTTTCGGGAGGATCCCGCGTGCCGCGGAGCGGCTGGGCCCGTGAGCCGTGGCCGCTGGGCCTGCGCGTCCGGAGCCTGTGCTCCGCAAATGGGAGGGGCCGCAGCGGTGAGAGGCCCGCATAACGCAAGAAAAAAAAA